CTGGCCTCCGTCAAAAGCTGATTTAGAAGAAGCAGGCAAAAGAAAAGGGAAAAGGCCAACACAATATCAGCCCCATCTTGCCGTCAAATTTTAGCTCCCTAGGATATTTTCCGTACGAGGTTTCAGCTGCCAGCATTCCTGCATCTGCCTTCTCTGTTGGTCATAGTTGAATTTCACACTATCGTGTGTCAAAGCAGCTTGCAGCTTCATAGGCGATTTTTTATTCCCGGCGGCAGCCAGCCCTGGGTCAGCGCCACTCCCAGCGCACTGTCCGTCAACCTAAACAGGATGCAGGAAGAGAGAGAGGACCTAGGGTGACGTATATGGAGACAGTGCGGAGCAGACACACTGTGCTTCCGTATGGGCTTTTATTCGGGGCATTTGAGAAAACAGGGAGGCACATGTAAGCGGCGGGCATCGCTGTGTGGACGCACACGGAAAGTACTGTACGCACCTGTACGCACTATGTTCATACTATCCTGATGCTATTGGACGCAGCAGACAAGTATGAGCAGGCGAGGGGCTTCCGTTACGAATGGGAATTCAGATGCGTATCCGCGTTGCAGGGATGCGATTTCAGCAAATTGGCCACCACAGATTCCACAGCCCAAGTTTCATCCGGTACAAGTACCGCTTGTATCTTTGTGTTAGCCGCATGCTGGCAGCGGCAGGTGGTCTAGTGATATGAGTGCAATATCGAGATGAGATGCCGAGTAGCACATGAACCGTCATAGAGGCACCGAGGCATACGAGTATGGAGCACATGGGCCGTTTTGCAAAGGGAGGGAGGGAGCGGGCTGGTTCCGTTACACGTACATGCTTGCTTCGATAAGCATACTATAACGAGGCCCAGAAAAATAAAGTAGAGGGCGTTGTACAGCGCCTGGCTCTCGTTTGCCCTACCGTCGTCTAAACTCAGACGGGATAGGGAATATGTCAAAGGCACGAAATTATCAAGACCAAAACTGTGGTAGCGTAGCGATGAAATCGGCGGTGGAGGTGTGCTTGTTACGGCGCCGTTTGCTGTTACGGGGCGTTGGGGTCGCACATGTACCGTGGCCGTCATATATTTTGGGAGGCTGAAATATAAATAGGCGTGCCAAGGCGCAGCATAATGACGAAAGGAGAGGGCAAAAACTTGCTTGAGGTGCTGCAACGGCGATGAGATGACGATGATGGGCCCGTCCGTTCTGGGACGGATAGGCGCTTTCTTTGTATGTACTTGGCTGGCCCTGTGTCTCATCAACTCATGGAGAGGGGGGGCTGCCCAAATCGTCGAGATTGGCGCGGGGAAGCATTTTGGCGGCGGCAGTAGTGACCTGTAGCACTAGGCAGAGCAGTCAGCTAGCTAGCTGGCAGGCAAAAACAGCAGAGGTGGTGTGGTGGTGGTGGAGGTTATCGTGATGAGATCCACCCAAACGGTCATAGGCGTACGTCAGGGCTTGCTGTTGGTGTTGCCAGGCCTGCTGCCCGTCCCCGCAGGAGCCTTGCTTCCAAGGTGTGAGGGCCTGTGTGTTCTCACCTCAGAGTGCGTGCCCATTGATGCCTTGATTTTTGTAGCTCTTGTATGCTATTTTCGAGTCAAGATACAATGTGTTTAGGTTGTTCTGCATTTTTATAATGGCTGCCTACAGATGCGCGCGCCAAAGCTGAGCTCTGGCCATGCTCGATCGTCGCTGCTGCATTTACTACAGGGTACTACCACTACAGCCTCCACAGGCATATGCATGCCGCTATAGCTTCAAGCTTACCCTTGAACTGCCGATGAGAGGCTCTATGCTTGGGATCTGCTCAGAAGATGGGCAGAACAACGTGAAACACAGACGATAAAATACAAAAATAAACCTTACAAAGAAATTAATTCATACACAGCCTGCTTAGTGACCCGACTGCCTCTCCAACCCTTTTCTTTGCCTCCCTCGCTAGCAGTAAAGCGCCCTGCCCTACCTGTGCTGCGTCCTTCGTCTGCCGTACAGCACATCACGTATGTACTGTATCATCCAACCTTTCTTTAGTTTTCCCCTTCTCTTTCTGTCTTTCTTCTCTCTGCCCCCACCCACCCCGGACGGCGTCGACGCCGCCGTGTTTCTCCCCCTGTTTGCCGTGCTAGAGGAGACCTTTACGTCAGGGCTGCACTGCATCGACACCCGGCCGTCCGCCGCCAAAAACGTGTCCCCACCGGGCCGGGCTGGTCCCCTGGTCGCTGCTCCGTGTTCCGCACGGGGTCCGTACGGAGTACTCCGCTGGGTACTCCGTATGAGGAATTCTGGCAGCCAGCGCAGCGCATGAAGAGTATAGTGAGGGCCATTCTTACGGCCTGCACCCTGGCATGTGCCCTATCTGATACGGCGCAAGCTACCTCAGCTAGCCAGATTGCTGCTCGCGGCGTCGCATCCCCAAAAATCCTCAGACATGCTGCAAAAGTGCGCTTACTTGTATACACAGGTGTGTAGTGAGTAGCATGTGGCGATGGGAACCTGAAATGTCTGATACTCTGTACAGCAGAAGCGACATCCTCCCCTGTATCCGGCAAACCTTCTTTGTTCCCTGTTTACTTTTTACTTTGATTCCACGTGTATATACAGTTTGTTTACTTTTCCCTCTCTGAAGTTTCTCGATTAGGACCATCCAAGTTCCCAGTATCATATCTATTTCAGTACTAGCGCGGAAGGGTATGCCTTTCGAAAATATCCCAATGTTGCCTAGCGCTCATTTCCAGTGCCAGCAGCAACTTGGTTGCTCCCTGTAGGTACCTTGCCCGATAGAATTGCTACAGGTGCATTCCAGGAATTCCATCAATAAGCTGCACTACTTGCTGTATATTGAAAAGTTTGAAACACGTACATGATAATCTCACCGCTCGCCGACTAAAAGCACTGATAACCTCACCAGCCCTTCATCGGCAGTTGCTGTGAATACGCTACACATATTTACACTCATACTCAGACCTATAAGCCGCACATTTCGGCACAGTACTACTAGTAGTCCTGCTGGGTGCTCAGCGGCCGCTGTCCCCTGCATAAAATCTCCTCTCTCTCCGCAGTGGCGGCACATGCCCCAGCACCCTCATCCACTCCCAACTTGCAACTTGTCGCTGTTGCAGGCCCCTGGTTAAACTGCCGTAGCCTTAACCAACAAGCATTTTTTCGCTCTCGCGGGCCCCACCCGCAACTTTGAGCACAATCCCTGCTTTGGCTCTCAAGGAAGTAGAGACAGAGGTATACAGTAGAATACAGTGCGAATTACAATACTCCAAAAGATACACACGAGGCTCGCACATGCCAGCAGGGGACGGCCGCCCTCGCTCGTACTCTGTGCTGCGCGCAGCCATTTGCACCCAGCACTGCGCATACTGTAGATACGGAGTACATCTGAGCGGTACTTCACGTAGGACAGTGCAGTACCCAAGGCAGGCAGGCAGCCAGAGCAAGAAAGAGCAAGGCAACTTGGACCTTTCTTTCCTCCAAATCCTCCACCCCCCCACCTGCCTTCTCACCCCTCCCCTGGTCGTGCCTTCCTAGTCCCACAGATTGCATCTCCACCCCCCTTTCAGATCCACGCTGGCTGGCGTCTCTCTGTCGACATCATGGCTCCTGCTAGCTACACCCTAAGCCGACATCCAGATGTTGCTGCCACTTGCGATACATGGCGGCCACTTGTATCATCTTTTTTGCCTGCCTCTTTGCATTCGTCTTTTGCATCTTACTCGCAACGCCTTTAATCTCCTCTTTTCCCCCCCTTGGCGCTGAATCGCCTCCATTCCGTCCATCATCATTGCAATTGCTACTCGTTTGAGCAAGATACCTGTTTGTACGCGTACGAGTCGAGTACTTATCACTTCGAGGTACTGTACCTGTGTGGGAAACTCGCTACCTCTACATCCACCAGGCCCTGCTGCTCGTGTCTCAAACTTGCCACAGAGCTGCTTTCAAACACAGCATCAGCTTTTCACCTACTATACATAGAAGTGGCAGTTCTCTTTTGCCTCCTCTTGGATTTCTCCCCCCTCACCTCTCATCAGCGTCATCAACACCACCATCATCGCTTAGACAGTGGACAAAAGCACAAATCACCTGGGGCCCTACCCATACCTGGACATCTGACCCCATCTCCTCGATCAGAGACATTTAGCTGCCAGGGCAGCACAAACGCATTCGCACAATCCGCATCTGCCCACTCCCAATCTCTTCCCCTGCCCGCTGGCAGTCTGCAAACTTGTTTTTGGCCTTCATCTTGGGCTTCTCCCCTCCAGCAGTCGTCATCATCCCTATCCGTCCCAGCACCGTCTGCTGGCCGTTCTCCTCTCAGTCTTCTCCATACTCTCCACCGCGATTTGGCCATAGCACAGCTCCATAACGGAGTTTTGGTGGTTCCCTGTGGGTTCCTCCCAAATGCTCGTCACTTAATTCAACTAGCCTGCAGCCCCCCCGGCCGGTTCTTCTTCCTAGGGCCAAAAGCACTACCCTACTTCATCGCAGCAACCCTGTCGCCTCGGGCTTTACGAAAGGGACATTGGCCTGCCGATCACTTTGGCCCAGAGTCGTCACACCAGGCCAACCTGGGACCTCCTCTGGCATCCCGCTAAAACTGACGCACGTCAATTCACTGACCCGAGGACACACTTAAGACTTCGCTGATCCCACCTTGGTCCTCCCGACAAATCACTCCCAACTCCAGACGGGATCTTCTGTTATTTGGACTGTGCTACCGACTTGGCAATCTTCTAGTCGGGATCCCGCATCTGATCAACAAACCTTCTTTCTGCTCTCCCACGCAAACGCACCACACGCACGCACATCACCCAGAGCTGTCTCTTGTCCTTGAGCTTTCTCCTGATCATCACTTACACAAAGAGAAAGAAAGAGGAAACTCACCACAACTACGACAAAGACAATCAATACATACCATACCGTCAAAATTACACACTACACCTTACACAAACATCAACTTATCGATCAATCCAACACCACTCTTCCTAGCAAATCTTCACTACATACACCATGACCATGACGCTGGACGCACCCCAACAGCAGCGATTTGGGCCCGTTATGAACTTTGACTACCCTCCTCACGGCCAGTCACCGGCCTTTTCAAATCCGTGGTCCTCGTCACCTTCTGCCTCCCAGACCGCCGCAGTAGCAGGAAGCAGTCTCTACGTTGGCGGACCGGCGCCTCCTCCTCTCAGTCACAGTCTCGTGGCCAAACCTCACACCGCTCGCGCTCCCATCCCCAGCGGACCTCCTTTACCATCCTACGGCTCCTTGCCGGTCGCCTCATCTGGAGCTGGTAGGTTCCTCATTCTCATTCTCTTATATGAATCTTAGATGTACATGTATATTTGCAGCTGCTTACTTGTCCATCATCAGATCTCCTCAGCATGAACCGCCTTCAGACCTCTTCTGCTGCCTATGCAGACGCCACCTACGCCACGACAGCCTCTCCCGTCCACGGCCACTTTGCACCTCCTTCAGCTTCTGCATACGACACCATGGGCTATGCACCAGCCCATGTCCGGCCCGCATTTGGTGCCCTTGGCCACGAATCAGACGCCTCGCGCAGGTTTTCTCAACAGTGAGCCAGTCCTTCGTTTGCTACTTATGAAATTACATGACTGACATTTACATCTCCAACAGCGTCCATACTGATGACCGGAGAGGCTTTGCTGAAGCCCTTGATGCCAGCCACGGCATGCTTGCCATGAGCCAAGAGACACCCAGAAACATCTATGGCCGCGACCGATCTTCTGTAGACTCATACGGCTTCCCGTCGACTCATTCGACCAGCTCCTCCGTCTCGTCCTCTGGCGGCTTCGGCTCCTACTATGGCGACTCCGTCTCTGACTACTCTACTGCCGGCTCAGATATCGAGTCTGTTAGCTCGAGAACACTGCCTCGACCTCAGGGCATGATGTCCTCCTCAGTCCCTCCTGCGCCCCAATCCATGATGGGCCAATTCAGCTCCAAGGTCTCATCCAGCACTCAGAAGAAGCACAAATGCAAGGTTTGTGACAAGCGTTTCACACGACCAAGCTCTCTGCAGACTCACATGTACAGCCACACTGGCGAAAAGCGTAAGTAATTCCAAAAGCATATCCTCTGTTATACATGGTCTAATAAATATGTTTAGCATTCGCCTGCGAAGTTGAGGGCTGTGGTCGCCATTTCTCGGTTGTCTCAAATCTTCGACGCCACCGAAAAGTCCACAGAGGCGACGCCCGATCTGAGGCTGGTTCAGAAGACCACCACTCAGATTAAATCAGATTTATTTTACCCTCCAAAACCGGATTCATTGATTGATTCCGGCTGTATTACTAGAGCCTTTTATGACTGCGGCCTTTGCGAGGCTAAACCTTCAACAATCTTTTTTCAACTACCACCTCCCGCACATTAACCATCTGTAGCAGCATAGAAGATGCATGAGATGTAGGTGCGGGAGCTTGGGCATTGAAAAATCGACCATCATTTCTAAGATTTAATTGGTACAATACTCAGACTACGACTTCATCTCACGACAAACACATATTAGAGGATGCGGGTTCAAAAGAATCCCGAGGTTTTTGGAAGGGAAATCTTTTCTTTTTCTTTTTTATTCAAGAGATGGTACGGCTATGCGCATGAGTTTTCGCTACTTGTCAGGGATACCAGTGCGTTGCATTGCGGGGTCACATCAAGAGGCCTCTTGGCTGATGTGATGCTCTCAACTATTTCCTTTTTTTTTTATTGTTTGTTTGTTTTCCTTGTCTTCTCGTTTTCTTTCTTGGGTTCTGTCATTTACGGCTTCATTTCATCAATTTTCTTTCTACCTTGGTTGCTTGCTGGAATGGCGACTCTTTTTTCTTGGGCTATGATCTCGGCTGGAACGATGCGATACACACGAGTCTTTCCAGTCTGGCGTTTTGGCTGTGTGGTCAGGGGACTTTTTCTTTCTCAGCATGGAATTTGTGTCAACGCCAATCCTCGCCAGCCTTCCATTATGGGGTTCAGATGGAAGCAACTTGTGGCTTGATATCATCGGCACAAGTAGGAGGGATGGAAAAGATGGCAACCGAGCGGCTTCTGTTTGCTGTTGTTTAGTATTGTATAAATAGGCCCTATCTCACGGTGACGATATACCCATTCGATAGCATTGTGAGTCTATTGTTGAATACATGAAATTCATTATCATCCGAGTTCTTCTCTTCTGTCCTCTGTGGTTGTGAGCTATATTCTTTGAAACTATATTGAGTAGGTACAGTAGGTTTATCGACAGGACGCAGTGGTGCATGGTCCCTGCCGATCACTGGGCCAGCTACTTTCACGACTCATGGTACAGTAAGAGCTGCTAAGAGTACCCAGTTAAGGAGAGGTGGAAACCGGCAAGAGAGTAACTGGGGTTCTTACGGCGACGATCACGGCGAGGATGTCCCAAACAGGCGGGTGAGGTTTGGCGGAGGCGCCGAATCATATGCAATCACGGGCTTCTGTTGCGATTTCGTGTTGACAGCGGACGGGATCGACACACAACACGCGGGAGAAGCATTCGTCTCTGGGGAACCCGCAGCTGCCTAGCTTCGCGCTTACATGTAAGCTCTCTGTCTCTTTCACTTTCTTTCTCTGTTTATAGCATGATTGCAGGCTGGAGCTGAATCTACTTGTACGCTACGCCATCCAAGGGGAAAGGGAAAAGTGGAAAAAGGAGAGCGTCCATACGCGATATGTAGGTTGGATGGAGCATGGGATAGCGCTGGATTTGATTTGATATGTTTTCTCCTTTTCTCCCTTTCTCCTGCTTTTCTCCATTACCAATGGTTTTGATGACTATTTATCGTGGAGATGTTATAAGGGACGCTAGTTGAGATGGACTTGCGCTGACCATGATACGAAGTTTACTCGAGCATACAAAGTATGATGACTTTCTCGCATGCATTGGAGAGAGAGCACGACATATTCAAAGGACGATCACTTCCTCAACTTGGAATAGAACGCGCGTTTCAGAATCGAATATCATTGCTGGTTATGGGATAGGAGGGATCCAAGCAAATGTTGTCAAGACCGGACAAGCTTTGTGGGGTTTGCGAAGGTTGTGACTTGGCTACATGCTGCCAAGCAATAAATTTTGGAGAATGAATGGTACATGCAAGGGTGATGATATTTGGAACGGCTTGTGTGGATGGGATATTTGGAACAAAAAAAGAAATGGGTTGCATGGGTTATCTGGCGGCTGAAGCGAAGCGAGGGTGGCGGATTTGTCTTCCGGAAACCCGTTGATCGCTTCATTTGTGATATAGAGGAACTTTGGGAGAGGTGGGTGTCGTGGTGTTTTTCTTTTTCTGCCGTTGTATGAAAAAGAAGGTGTGGTGATATCGAGATTCTGCAGTTGGACGGTGCCACGAGGACAGCTGCTTTCTCTTTCTTTTTTGATCAACGTGACGACGAAGAGGAGGAAGAGGGGAAAGAAAGAAAAGACGGGACCACATTTGTGAAGGATCGACAATGGGCTTTACTCTCTTTGAGGCAACGGCAGATGCTGCTTGTTTCCAAATGCATACGCTGATTATCGAGATGGTTATGATGTCTAATGTACATCTCCCGTTCTCCGGTCTGGGGGAGGGAAATCTCCCTTTTTTGGGGTGGTGATGCGCAGAGGAGAAGACCAAAATTGGATTTAGGCAGTGCTTTTGCCTTTGAAGGCTAATATAGCAAGGCTCTATTACTGAACTAAGCGGATATCGAGATCACAGAGAGGCTTTTGGTTTTGCTCAGCCGCGGTAGGCACAGGACACACACGCGCGCATGTATTGGGGCCATATGACGATGCTATTTACGGTGAAGGTGGGAGGAGCCCAACTATAAGCCGGATATGTATGATGACAGCGGGCATGAGGTGCTGCGGTGAGAGAGGAGTTGGTTTGCGTTTACATGTAAACTTATTTTTACAACAGGATGGCGATCTTATCCAGTCATTATTTTTGATTTCAGGCTTTTTGTGTAAGTGGTGGTTTTTTGTTACGACGTAATGATGCGCTTTTACATGTGTTGCGGTTTTTGGGCATGTGCCGCCGGAGCCTTCTCACGATGATGTGAGGTTGCGTTCAGCCTCGGCCTTGCTCGTTCTGGGTATAGGTGCCCTTTTTTTTCGCCTTGGTCTAACCAAAGTTCCAAACGTTATCAGAAAGAAGATGGAAACATGATGCCGTCACCGTTTTGGAAATCCGGTTACTGCCCGTTTTTTAAAAAGCCACCACGACAGTGGCGTTTGACATCTTTCTAAGGTAGGGCAATTCGCACTTTTATTTTGAGGTGGCGCTTCCCGCCTTTGGGATATTCTTTGTGTAGTGGGAATGGCAGAAACGGAACATCTTGTTTAAGCGGCAAGTTTTGTATATACATGACAGTACTCTGTTTACTCTCGCTCAGTGTTTCCAAGTATTCATTTTTATGCAAATTTTTATAAATATTTTTCCAGGCCAGGTCTTCTAGTCAGTAGTTGTTACAGAGTAGTATTCTGTCAAATTAAGCACATATCGGCGCGCAGATTTGCCATCCGCCCGACTGTACCATTTAATGAAAGAACAAAGAGCTACAGCCATCAAGTTCAGTGCTATCAAAGAGAGAGAACCAGACGACAGCAGGCTACACACTGCTATAAGCTACGCAGAGCACACTTCTGCACTGCACTGCACTGCACTGGGAGTAAAAAAGTATACAGTGCTTTACCAAAAAGGGAGCCCAGGTGATTGTGTGGGCTACACAACAACCTTGGAGAACCAGCAAAAATAGTGAACAGGGATCCAGGGGGTGTGTGATTAAAACAAGCTTTGCCCGCGTTCACATCCCGTCGACAACTGCTACGGTAGGTATTGCATGTACTCGGCCAAAATAGGGGGCTGCTTCGAGGGTTTCTGGCACCCTGGCTGCGAAGTGACGTCTGGTGATACCAAATGATGGGAAAGTTCTTGGCCACGTATCTTCAATTTTATCCTTTTCTGGGAGCACATGTGGAAGAACAGATGGATAGTCTTGTAAGCGAAACACAACGGCCTTTTCACCGGGGTTTCTTCTATCCAAGTGGGTGGAGCGAGAACTAGAAAGCCGCTAAGCATCGTGGCTGGCCGCCAAAAATCGAGGCTACCACAAAGTCCTACTCGTACAGATATCATACGAGAGTCCTCGCAGGGTCACGACATCTCATCCGGGGACTCTAATGATGAAGGCTCGTACTCGAGATTACTACCTTCTATAAAGCAATAGAGTTATCGGCAATGGAGCTCTCAGCTGCCACGGCTTGCTACCCTTTCACCTCTGCCCTACTGGAAGAGGAACGTCGTGTTAAGGAATACGATGAATATTCTCCGCTATATACCCCGAGAGGAAGGCGGACTCTTGTTGCGTATCCAGCTGTGACGAAATGAATGTCACTGGAGGAGGAAGGGAATGGGTAGAGGCAAGGGTACCATAGCACGAGTAAACAGTAGCATTGTGCTACAATCTACAGAGTACCACCAAGACCACAACCCCTGTCGAAAGGCTGAGAAGATCAACGGGTACGAGAACTTTGAAAGAAAACGTCCCAGAGAATCAAGCATTTACCAGAGTGTGGGCCTCAAAAGCTTCTTTCGTTGCCTCCCGCAGTGACCAGGACAGAGAGAAACGAAGATTTGGTGAACGGATATAAACCACCTTCCTGTCTAGGCGATTCGCGATGCCCGCACATGTAGTGCTGATAAAGATCATGTCGATTAATACTTAGGTAGGGAGGTACCAGAAGTAAGCATGAAAAGACAAGATGTATGAGTAAGTGCTAGCATCAAGTCTCTCCATCTTCTTTTTTTACCCTCTTCTTCCCTTTAGTGGATGAAGGCCACTTACACCGACAGTTTTCGCATTGTTTTAGTGCTGCTTTTTTATCTTTTCCCTGTCCAGCAATACATTGCCTTAAAGCCGTGCTACCGCGAAAGGGGAAGTGGGAATTAAAAAAAAAATATGAATCGGGGGAAGCGAATCAGGGGATATAACGGGGAGGGGGGGAGGGGGGTCCAAAGCGGTTTTTTTCTTTCCCATCATGTTCAGGGGACGAGCATAATAAGATGCATCGGATCGCATCGGATCGTCGTTATCCATCTGGGTTAATGCGGTTATTTTGCTGTCTGGTTTGCTGCTGGCGGCCTATTTGCGGTTAGTATTACTAGAGAGGGGAGGGGGTGGAAAAAGAGAAACGCGAAAATAGGTTAACGAATTTCAACAAAACAGAGCTCGTTAATATTCATGCCGAGGCA